CTACAGATCAGCTGGGAGCCTAGTTCTGCTGAGACCTTGGGGGGGTCGCCAGTGTCAGACGTAGCTGACCGGAGTGTACCAAAGGGCTGAGACCTTGGGGGGTCGTCAGGGTCAGTGGTAGCTGACAGGAGTATACCAAAGGGCTGAGACCTCGGGGGGTCGCCAGGGTCAGAGGTAGCTGACAGGAGTATACCAAAGGGCTGAGACCTCAGTGGGTCGCCAGGATCAGAGATAGCTATGAAATACACAATCAAGTAAGTAAGTAAGTAAGTAAGTAAGTAAGTAAACATACTATATACAGGAACTATTTCAAAAGTCAGTTCCAATACCATGTGCAGGGTTACTGGCGTGATAGAGGTAGATACTGTATATATAGGGGTAAGGGGACTAGGCAACAGGATAAGATAAACAGAGTAGCAGCAGCTTGTATGTGAGTGGGTGTGCGGGTGTTTAGAGTCAGTATAAATGTATGTGCATATTATGTGTGAGTGAGAAAATGATGGAGTGAGTGTTTTTGTGTGTGTTGGAGTGACAGTGTGTGTAGGGCGCTGTGAGTGTGCATAGAGACAGTGCAAAGATTGAAATTAAAGACACAAGGTTTGTCTGTGTAGCTATTTTGTTAGCTATTTATCAGTCGTATTGCTTAGGGATAGAAGCTGTTCAAGAACCTGTTGGTGTCAGACTTGATGCACTGGTACCTCTTGCCGTGCGGCAGCAGAGAAAATAGTCTATGGCAACGAATTTTGCAGTTCCAAGACTCCCATTGGTACCAAATCCGTGATCGGAGGTCATCCATCTTATTATCAAGTGACTGTACATTAGCCAGTAGAATGGAGGGAAGAAGTGGCCGCATTTCCCTTTGCCTTAATCTCACCAGGACTCCCCCTCTCTTGCCTCTGTAATGCCGGCGTTTCCTCTTGTCTATCCCAAACTCACACACACACCACTCCCCCAGAAGGTTACCATCACACTATACCAAACTCACACTCACACCACTCCCCCAGAAGGTTACCATCACACTATCCCAAACTCTTACACACACCACTCCCCCAGAAGGTTACCATCACACTATCCCAAACTCACACACACACCACTCCCCCAGAAGGTTACCATCACACTATCCCAAACTCACACACACCACTCCCCCAGAAGGTTACCATCACACTATCCCGAACTCACACACACCACTCCCCCAGAAGGTTACCATCACACTATCCCAAACTCACACACACACCACTCCCCCAGAAGGTTACCATCACACTATCCCAAACTCACATCCACACCACTCCCCCAGAAGGTTACCATCACACTATCCCAAACTCACACCCACACCACTCCCCCACTATGTTGTCCAATTGGAGTCGTACTAAATGCTTTATGTGAAAAACACCTCATGTAGCTGACCTACAATCAATACAACTCCAAACTCATTATGGGGTTGGCTTTTCAATGGCACTTTCACATATTGGAGAGTTTAAAGTGGCTTAATGACTAAAAATCATTAGAAGAATTGCCAAACTTGTCACAGCGCCGAGTGCTATTGAACCAGTGGCGATCGTGCCGTGTAAGATGAGGGAGGACACATTTTTTTAAATGAGCATGGCCTTATTTCTATTACAGCATATTGGATGGCTGTCATTCATATTACATTCACCCGGCTCAATGTAACATCGATATGTGCCCAACACCCATCATGCGGTTGCTACAACCTAGCCTATGAAGGAAAGTTTACAACACAGGTCGAGATAATTTATTTTGTAATCAAGGTGACAGAGAGTAACACATTCAATACCGTCTTGCACACTGTTGCCTGCATCTCACGGCGGTAGCCATGAAGTGCTTTGAAAGGCTGGTCATGGCTCACATCAACACCATCCTCCCGGAAACCCTAGACCCACTCCAATTTGCATACCGCCCCAACTGAGCCACAGATGACACAATCTCAATCGCAATCCACACTGCCCTTTCCCACCTGGACAAAAGGAACACCTATGTGAGAATGCTGTTCATTGACTACAGCTCAGTGTTCAACACCATAGTGCCCACAAAGCTCACCCCTTGACTAAACACCTTCCTCTGCAACTGGATCCTGGACTTCCTGACGGACCGCCCCCAGGTGGTAAGGGTAGGCAACAACACATCTGCCACGCTGATCCTCAACACGGGGGCCCCTTAGGGGTGCATGCTTAGTCCCCTCCTGTACTCCCTGTTCACCGACGACTGCGTGGCCAAGCACGACTCCAACACCATCATTAAGTTTGCTGACGACACAACAGTGGTAGGCCTGATCACCGACAACGATGAGACAGCCTATAGGGAGGAGGTCAGAGACATGGCAGTGTGGTGCCAGGACAACATCCTCTCCATCAACGTGAGAAAGGCAACGGAGCTGATCGTGGACTACAGGGACGGGGTTGTAGTGGAGCGGGTTGAGTGTTTCAAGTTCCTTGCTGGGTGTCCACATCATCAACCAACTATCATGGTCCAAACACACCAAGACGGTCGTGAAGAGGGCAAGACAACACCAGATCCTCAAAAGTTATACAGCTGCACCATCGAGAGCATCCTGACCGGTTGCATCACTGCCTGGTATGGCAACTGCTCGCCATCCGACCGTAAGGCGCTACAGAGGGTAGTGCGTACAGCCCAGTACATCACTGGGGCCAAGCTTCCTGCCCCCCTAGTTTTTACACTGCTGCTACTCACTGTTTATTATCTATGCATAGTCACTTCACCCCTACCTACATGTACAAATTACCTCGACTAACCTGTACCCCCGCACATTGACTCGGTACCGGTACCCCCTGTATATAGCCTCGCTATTGTTATTTTATTGTGAAACGTTATTTTTTTTAACTTTCGTTTATTTAGGAAATATTTTCTTAACTCTATTCGGTGCATGTGACAAATACAATTTGATTTGATTTGATCTAGCTGATCTAGGTTGTAATCTTTAGTCCAACAGTTGCAAACGAGAGTTTCTATTGGGCAAATTCAGGTATGTTTATCTCCGTTTTGTTCCGTTTGCTCTGTTTAAGAAACGTTTTTCAACAGAATCGATGGAATGAATACACCCTTGATCACACGCAAACACAGTTCACTTTCATAGCAGCCACATACAAACAGCATGATCACTTTGCTCGTTGTATAATTCCTTCTCGCATCTACGCACTCTCCTCCTCTCACCTTTTCCCTTTGCCTGTGGACTTCAATGCACAACACATCAGCTGTCTGTGACCAGGCAAAAACAAACTTTCCAAGCCAAACTTTCATATCATAACCATTAACCGCTACACACAGCCTACATCATTGTCACCATATTAGCTAACATCATAGTCAACATACTGTAGCTACTAGAAATAACGCATTGGTAAACCCGCTATAATCATGCAGTACAGTGTATACAGTCAGCAAGCAATTTAGCAGTTACACCGGCGGGCCCTGGTGGCAATAACTTAATACAACCAAAAGCATACCTTGACTTGGAAGAGTTCCAGTGTTGGATAGCCATAGCCATAGCCCGCTAGCTAACATAGCATCCCTCTCTGTTTGAGCCGGGTGTTTGAGTAGGCTAAACTAGCTAGCTACATTCGCTAGCTAAGTAAGTGAAAGTGAAAAAGAAAATACAAAATATAGCTAGCTCTCTCTCGCTCTCTTGGTTCTCCTTCATTTTTGAAGAAATGAATTTTTCAAAACACTTAAGCTATTGTCTTTCTCTTTGAGTCAACTACTCACAACATTTTATGCACTGCAGTGCTAGCTAGCTGTAGCTTATGCTTTCAGTACTAGATTAATTCTCTGATACTTTGATTGGGTGGACAACATATCAGTTCATGCTGCAAGAGCTCTGGTAGATTGGAGGACGTCCTCCGGAAGTTGTCATAATTACTGTTTAAGTCTATGGAAGGGGGTGAGAACCATGAGCCTCCTAGGTTTTGTATTGAAGTCAATGTAACCAGAGGAGGACGGAAACTAGCTGTCCTCCGGCTACACCATTGTGCTACCCTACAGAATGCGGTTGAGGCTACTGTAGACCTTCAACAGTGTGTTTTAATCAATTATTTGGTGACATTAATATATTTAGTATAGTTTTATCTAAAAAGGTTAACTTTTTTAAATGTTTCACTATAAAAAAGTTAGCTGAGTAGGATGGTCCTCCCTTTCCTCCTCCGAGGAGCCAATAGTCACAACTATTGATTTGAGTTTTTATCAATTGATTGTAAGCCATGTTCAACTCTGAAATAATGCTTGAAAGATTGCATGCATTTAACATGCACTTTCTAGTGATCTTATGTAATTAGGCCACATTTGTTTTCTGTACAGCACTGCACCAGATTCTGGGCTCAATCGAACCCACAAAGTGGTATTTACCCCATAGCTATGTTTCTCATGTCATTTGTTATTGAGACTAATTGAATGTTGAGTGCTGCATGAGAACACAATAACAACATATATTTGATCTAGGTCAGGTGAGATGTGTTTGCTCTTGTCAGCGTTTTGCAGAAACACCACTAAATGGGTCATGGTTCAGATTCATTTTTTTTTTTTTGACAACTTGCTGTTGCTTCATAACTTTACCACAAACACTCTCAAATTGTTTAGCTTATAAAAGGTATCTACATGTTTGACTTGTGATATTGAACATTAGAGTTTTACTATTGGACAGCTGAAAGCTGTCCCTAGTTGTAAGGACACTATGAATGTATATCAATCAAAACACGCACCATTCAAGCACTGTTAGGAAGGTACAGTTGATATGATCTTTTCCAGGTAAATTGACAGAGAACAAATTAACATACAACAACAACCAGTGCAAGAACGGATATAGGTTTCAAAACTAAACAGGTCATGCGAACAGGTCATGGACAGGGATAGAGAACCACAATAACACAATATCTGTGTGTCACTAAACTTCAGTGTTAGCATCTCTGTCTGCTATGATGCAGAGGTGGGCTTCCTGTCCCCAATTTAGAAACCATAGGTTAGGAGTGTAGGACGTGATTGACAAATATCAGTATAATCCACAAACACACATTCACGTGCACACACCCCCATTTGTAGGGGTATATAGGACCAGTCAGTAGGTTTGTTCAGTGGATCTTCTCTCGTCCTACTTACCATCACCATGGCTTCCAGATACCTAGACACGATCCTGCTTCTCTGCTGCATTGTGACCATGTTGAGTTCAACCTCAGCAGCATGTGAGTTTACCTGGTAACCAATTTACCACTTTACCTATTTAACAGTTTACCCATGTAAATTGACCAGTTTTTTTTTTTTTTTTTTTTTTACCAAGGTCTGATAAGATCTAGCTGTGAGACCTGCCAACTCTGTTTTGGGGTCATATTGTTAGATCAGATATTGAGAAGCCTTGAAATACATATTTTACATTAATGTTCTTGTGGTCTGAATTGATGTGGCCTGTGGCTGACTGATGTGTGTGCTTGTATGTGTTCAGATGGCCCTAGGAAACTTTACTGTTGTGTGGAGTACCAGGAGAAGCCTATACCCTACCAGCAGATAAAAGGCTACAAACAACAGAGTTACAAGGAGGTGTGCAACAATGATGCTATCATGTAAGCCCTGCACGATGTATATACACACACAAAGTTACCTTACTCTCAATATGTATTCTCATATTTGTAATCTCTATGAGGTTGAAGGTTAAGTGTGTTTTCTGTTGTAGCTTCTATACCGCGAAGAACAAGAAGGTATGCGCCAGCATTAAGGACGAGTGGGTGAGGACGGCTCTGGCTCATCTCAGGTACACACACACTCTCCTCTTAAGACACAAAGCGTTCTCATTCAACTACACACACCAAAATGTCTCAGAGCTACAAGTACACCAAATCTCACTTACAGAAGCATTTCAAGGCTGGATGTCAATGAAACATGCCATACAGGTTTTACGCAATGTCTTCATGTACAAACTACTGTCTTCTAGCACACTTGCTCTGAAAAAGAAAATTATCTAAGTCTGCTTCAGACTCAAATGAGTTTCATATTATGTGTTATGTGCAGCTCCAAACTGAAGAAGATGTCCGCAACAACACTGTGATGGCCAAAACCCCCAACCCCACTCTGAAAGGCACATTCACCCACAGCGACACAACTTTCTCCAATCGCAACACAACATTCTCCAACAGCACCGTAACATTCAACATCACCAGTAACAACACCATTCAGTAATGTGGCCAAATGATGCAGATTTAATGCATTGCATATCTGAGGATTGCCATTGTTGATGATTGTACTTTATTCATGCTCAAGCTTTCAGGTATCTTCTGAACCCACAATGTAAGCTAATTAAGTCAACTGCTTCAATTAGTTATATTTTTCTGCATTCCATGTTTTATATTTGTTTATTTTAAGGCCTGCAGAAATAAAGAATTCAATATATTGACTTGATTAATAATTTTAGTCACATTACCGTAAAACTAGAGCTGACAACTGCATGGACATTAGTTGTGAATGTGATTGTGAATTGAAACATAGTTCAACAGTGCAGACAATGCAAAACCACAGAAACCATCATGACTTCAAATGACCTGATTCACACTGAGACAAAACAACAGGTTGGAAAAATTACTGTATATTTAATCATTTTGATTTATATAAAGCCAATTTATACAATATACTTTTCTCAATTCCAGTTAAAGTAGAACAAATCTATCATATCATGAGGTGTGAGTGTTTGTGTTTAGAAGACACCATAGCACATCTGCTGTAAGGTGTCCATGCGTGCCACCTCACAGATGCCACCGGTGGCCGTGTCCTTGTTGTCCTCGCTCTCGAGAGGCAGTTGCGCCCTGCTTAAGGTCATACAACAGCTGTAGGAGGGGAGACAACACAGTCACAATACAGACCAATATAATCACAATATAGACCTAGACACAAAATATACAGGGACACATCCTCTGTTCTGCAATAAAAACGAACAAGGTGTTGGTTGTAAGTAGATGCAGAAGCTTCACATCACTGCTTCTTATAATATGTCCAAAACAGGTTAAATAATGTAATTATGTGTGTGCTCTACCTGGGGGAACTCCTCAAGGCCGAGGTCAATAGAGAGTGATAGTAATAACATGCTTCAGTAAGGTTGGTGTTTTGGCATTCATGACAACTGTATAGCAGGAATGGAATGTAAATCACAAAGGATAGACATTGTGGTGGCAGCTGCAGAGAAGTACTTGGGTGTACGAGATTTTACTGCAGAAGTTACAAGGTGTTTTGAACTATAGTGTCCCGTCCTCCCAGGCTGCCAGCCTGGTGGTGTAGGATCAGATAGGGCCAAAGTAGTGGAATAGTGATGAGGTTTTTATGGATGTAGGGTTAGAATAAGAATAAGAATATGCCATTTAGCAGACACTTTTATCCAAAGCGACTTAGAGTCATTCGTGCATAACTTTTTTTGTGTATGGGTGGTCCCGGGGATCGAACCCACTACCTTGGCGTTACAAGCACCGTGCTCTACCAGCTGAGCTACAGAGGACCGGGTTAGTTGGTAGAGAGAATTTTTCACAAAGTGTAATGAATTCATACTACAGAATAGTAGGCTGATACACAGCCAACACAGTAGGTGATGGCATGCACCTATAACATTTGTTTGCGGACCGCCATAATACCAAAGAAGAAGAAGATACTCCTCAAAATTTATGGAATTGTAGTTGGATTTGTGCATTGTTAATTATCGCCTTTCTGGCCTTCATAGTTGACTATGTTCAGATATGAGGAACTGTTAGGAGGTAGAGGAGAGGAATGGAAGTAAGTCTGCGATAGTAGCACCCACTTTTATTCATGTGAGATGTTTCGAAACCAGGACAGAGAGACTCATGATAAGACTACCTCGTTATCGTGTTATGGAATTTGTGTGCTGCCACCTACAGCCTCTTCAGTTAAAAATCGCTGAGTAGCCACATCATGACATTAGTAAAAGTCACATCTGAATTTACTGTGTTCTCTCACAACTCGTCAAAGTACAGCGGGCGGTCATTGTTGGTGTCAAAAATCTCAAACTGATGTCTCTGGTTGAGCAGGTCATCAGCTGTCCAGTGTTGAAACTTAATCTTCGGATCTATCACACTGGTGTTCCAGTCATAGCTATACTCTGCATCCAGGCACACACAGGTCATATTTATAAAACACAGGCAAAGAAAACAACACACAATAGGCCTCCTATGTAGGCTATCTTGGCAGGGTTCATAATCTTAGGTGGCGGCACACACTTTAAACGTTTGTTTGTGGACCGCCATGATATCATAGAAGATAAAAAAAGAATGCGACATCTAATGTGCTGGCCTAGCGATGGTTCTGTACTGCTGCACCCTTTCATGGCAAAGTTTACAAATAATAGATACCAATTATATACTTACTCATGATATACTTCTGCCAGATAAGCCTACTTTGCAGTTAACATTTAATTTAGAAGGTTTTGGGGTAAGTATTTCTTTCAACCCACAAGATGGTTGTCACATCAACTGGCTACACATGGAGTGATGGACAAATGCACGCACCACACAGTCATACAGTGACAATATTGCTGGAAATTAATTGGCAGATATTGTGTTAGGCTTTTTAAGCCAGAAGTGGCTAACCAGGGGTGGGATAATGTCAATGTTGCGTTGATTAGATAGTAGCTGGGAGCTTGCGGTGTCTGATACTTGTGAGACTTGTTTATGACAGTTTTGCGGTTGAACACGTAAAAATTGCATGTATTTTTGATCGACCTATTGGAGACCCCTACCCTGGTCTAGCTAGCTAAATGAGTTACTGTAGTTGCTGGCTGATGTAAACTCACTGTCAAACTTAGCAGTCTCTTTGATAGAGCGGATCGTCTGCTGTATCATGTTGTATGTGTAGCACAGGTTGATATCATGCAAGTTCATCTCGTCGGATTCTGCTGGGGCGTTTTGAAAAAAATAATGGAAACAATGCACTAACATTAACAGCAACGTTACAGTTCGTCTGGTAGACCAAGTTTCTAACGTTAGCTAGCTATAATTCACATCAGCTAGCTACTTGACATTAACGTTATCGGATCGAAGTCAGGATCCACATAACTTTCTGGCTCTTTAACCAGTGGATACAACGACTTCCCCATCTTCCAAACTAGCTAACGTTAGGGGGTTAGGGGGTTAGAGTAGGAGATATGTACCAGTACAGAGGGATAGGCAAGCAAGTGATATATGTTTCAGTAAGATTGGATTTTTAGCGTTTATAGCAATGGATATTAATTGTACTGCAGGGATGGAACGCAAGTCGAAGAAAATTGAGGTTGTGGTGGCAGCTGCAGAGAGGTATTTGGGTGTGCGAGACTTGACCTCAGAAGAGTTACAGGGAGTGTTAAGTGGTGATGTCCCATCATTTCAGGTTGAGGGCATGAGGTAGGAGTGAATATATTTAAATAGTGGAGAAGGGTGGTGTTAATTATTTGAAATAATTTTGAATTTGTGAGTGTAGTGTTAGATGTGGTCCTCTGTAGCTCAATTGGTAGAGCATGGTGCTTGTAGCGCCAGGGTAGTGGGTTCGATCCCCGGGACCACCCATACGTAAAAATGTATGCACACATGACTGTAAGTCGCTTTGGATAAAAGCGTCTGCTAAATGGCTTATTATTATTATGGTATGGTATTTCTTTGCTTTGTTCTATTTATTTATTTTTTCAAGAAAAAGATAAGGGAGTTGTACTCCAGTCCAGTAGGTGGTGGTAATGCAACAAATTGGATGCCAACTGCCGATAAACCTCATCGAAGAAGAAGAATGCACCTGTGTAATGATGATGCTATTTAATCAGCTTCTTGATATACCACACCTGTCAGGCAGCAGCTACTCTTCCTGGGGTCCAGCAAAATTAAGGCGGTTTCTACCATTTAAAAACATTACAATACATTCACAGATTTCACAACACACTGTGAGCCCTCAGGCCCCTACTCCACCACTACCACATATCTACAGTACATAATCCATGTGTACGTGTGTGTATAGTGCGTATGTTATCGTGTGTGTGTATGCATGTGTCTGTGCCAGGGACGGCCTGTTCAATAGGGCGATATGGGCGACGCACTGCCAAACGGGAAAAGGAAGGGATTTTTTTCTAATCAATTATATCACGGAAACAGTAGTTATCAGTGTTGTAATCTGATCTGACTGCCACTAAATGTCAAATCAGGCTAAAGTCGTGCTTCAAATGGCCCCGCCCGTTTTTGGGGCGATTTCAGTCAAGTTGAAAATCGCCCAGAAGTCTCTCATAGCCTGTCATGTAAAATCTATTTTTTTCAAATTTCAAAGCTTTCAATACATTCTCTATGGGTGTCTGTGGGCTTGCACTTACGCGCTTTCGTCATACGTGACGTAACCATGAACATAACTAAGAAAATGGCGGCTAGCAGCGTCTCTGTTGCGACCTGCAGTGTGGCGTTATTTTATGTTTTTAATTTGTAGACTTAGTTTACAAACATTCTGCCAACCATGGATTTCCAGTGGTTGGTTTTGGACTGATCTTGTTGATCGTGTACATACCCGCTACGAACGGACTAAATAATGAAAACGCTGCTGGCAGCGGAATCCAATACAGCTGGGAGACTTGGCTGGATGACAGAGTCCCGGACAGAGAAGTGGAGCCGGCCGGCTTCACCCTGGTCAGAGCGGACCGCGATCCTGGTAAGAGAGCGACTCTGTACCCCGACATTGAACTGCTTTCTGTGTCACTGCGACCTTACTATCTGCCCCGTGAGTTCCCCCAATTGTTTGTTACCGTTGTGTACTGTTGATAATCACAAGTTTACTGGAGAACTGAGACCAAGTAGAGACTTTGGACAGGGTGGATATGGTATAATAAAGGCAGTTTATTCAGAGGTAAAGATATCTGGAATCGCGTGCACGGACCCGTTCGTCAAACTCTTAGGGAGCTATCTGAAGAGAGCCCCGAAAACATTGTGCAGACATTTTATACAATAAATGATGTAGGTTGAATCTAGTAGTTCTGATCTTCTGATTGGTCCTGATGAGTTGGGCGAGGTCCCCTCCACTGTTGCATTGGCTCTGAGTCGGGTTCTCTGTCTTCAAATGTTCAGCCTAAAGAGAGGGGATTTTTGTGTGTGTGTGTGTGTGTGTTTAACAGTGATGATGTGTGTGTGTGTGTGTGTGTGTGTTATCAGTGATGATGTGTGTGTGTGTGTGTGTGTGTGTGTGTGTCCTCAGAGCAAGAACTCGTGAGTTGGAAGAACTGAGAGACCTATGGCGTGGGTGTTGTCCTTGGCCACCTGCTGACAAGGCTGACAAGATAGGACTCTTTTGTCCATTGTTATAGGATAGGAACAGCATTGATTGAAAACAAACGCCCAACACAAAATGGGTCATGCACAAGATTTTAGTTAGACCAAGCTATAACATTATATATTTACTACGACAGTACATTCAACCAAAAGCTAATATAACAAAGGCATCAGAGATTATTTATAATCTGTCACAGAAACTGGAATCCATCTCCCCAGATCAGTCAATAAATGCTTCTGGTATTGACTTATATGCTGCCCCTGTCTTCATGTTGTTGCTGGACATATCTTTTTTTAAATGTGTGTAGGTCACCTAAATCATCAGAAAAATTGCCCCTCCTGAGAATTTTTTCAGGAGCCGCCACTGGTCTGTGCCTATGTTTGTTAGCTAGCTGAATAAAATAAGTTAGAGTCTATTACTTGAAAACATTGAACCGCTGTAGTTTACAACAATTATAATTTCTAAAGTGGAAGTTGGGAGAGTTATTTTTGAGTGTTTCAGTGAAACGTGAGTGAGGGAGGCCCCGCTCTCTCGCTTTCCTAGATGTTTAGTTCATTTCATTCCGATCTCCTTTGCATTATTGTGGCCTTTTTCTGTAGCCTGTCTATGTGTCTGTCTATCCCTGTTCTCTCCTCTCTGCACAGGCCATACATACAGTGGGGGAAAATAGTATTTAGTCAGCCACCAATTGTGCAAGTTCTCCCACTTAAAAAGATGAGAGAGGCCTGTCATTTTCATCATAGGTACACGTCAACTATGACAGACAAATTGAGATTTATTTTCTCCAGAAAATCACATTGTAGGATTTTTAATGAATTTATTTGCAAATTATGGTGGAAAATAAGTATTTGGTCACCTACAAACAAGCAAGATTTCTGGCTCTCACAGACCTGTAACTTCTTCTTTAAGAGGCTCCTCTGTCCTCCACTCGTTACCTGTATTAATGGCACCTGTTTGAACTTGTTATCAGTATAAAAGACACCTGTCCACAACCTCAAACAGTCACACTCCAAACTCCACTATGGCCAAGACCAAGGGGCTGTCAAAGGACACCAGAAACAAAATTGTAGACCTGCACCAGGCTGGGAAGACTGAATCTGCAATAGGTAAGCAGCTTGGTTTGAAGAAATCAACTGTGGGAGCAATTATTAGGAAATGGAAGACATACAAGACCACTGATAATCTCCCTCGATCTGGGGCTCCACGCAAGATCTCACCCCGTGGGGTCAAAATGATCACAAGAACGGTGAGCAAAAATCCCATAACCACACGGTTGGACCTAGTGAATGACCTGCAGAGAGCTGGGACCAAAGTAACAAAGCCTACCATCAGTAACACACTACGCCGCCAGGGAATCAAATCCTGCAGTGCCAGACGTGTCCCCCTGCTTAAGCCAGTACATGTCCAGGCCCGTCTGAAGTTTGCTAGAGTGCATTTGGATGATCCAGAAGAGGATTGGGAGAATGTCATATGGTCAGATGAAACCAAAATATAACTTTTTGGTAAAAACTCAACTCGTCGTGTTTGGAGGACAAAGAATGCTGAGTTGCATCCAAAGAACACCATACCTACTGTGAAGCATGGGGGTGGAAACATCATGCTTTGGGGCTGTTTTTCTGCAAAGGGACCAGGACGACTGATCCGTGTAAAGGAAAGAATGAATGGGGCCATGTATCGTGAGATTTTGAGTGAAAACCTCCTTCCATCAGCAAGGTCATTGAAGATGAAACGTGTCTGGGTCTTTCAGCATGACAATGATCCCAAACACACTGCCCGGGCAACAAAGGAGTGGCTTCGTAAGAAGCATTTCAAGGTCTTGGAGTGGCCTAGCCAGTCTCCAGATCTCAACCCCATAGAAAATCTTTGGAGGGAGTTGAAAGTCCGTGTTGCCCAGCGACAGCCCCAAAACATCACTGCTCTAGAGGAGATCTGCATGGAGGAATGGGCCAAAATACCAGCAACAGTGTGTGAAAACCTTGTGAAGACTTACAGAAAACGTTTGACCTGTGTCATTGCCAACAAAGGGTATATAACAAAGTATTGAGAAACTTTTGTTATTGACCAAATACTTATTTTCCACCATAATTTGCAAATAAATTCATTAAAAATCCTTCAATGTGATTTTCTGGATTTTATTTCCTCATTTTGTCTGTCATAGTTGACGTGTACCTTTGATGAAAATTACAGGCCTCTCTCATCTTTTTAAGTGGGAGAACTTGCACAATTGGTGGCTGACTAAATACTTTTTTTCCCCAGTGTACGCTTCACACCGCATGGCTGCTGCCACTCTAATCTGGTGGTCCCTGCGCGCACGACCCACGTGGAGTTCCCGGACTCCGGCAGCCTCTGGAACTGCCGTTCTGCGGTCAACAAGGCAGAGTTCATCTCAGCCTATGCTACCCTCCAGTCCCTCGACTTCTTGGCGCTGACGGAAACATGGATTACCACAGAAAACACTGCTACTCCTACTGCTCTTTCCTCATCTGACCATGTGTTCTCGCATACCCCGAGAGCATCTGGTCAGCGCGGCGGTGGCACAGGAATCCTCATCTCTCCCAAGTGGACATTCTCTCTTTTTCCCATGACCCATCTGTCTATCTCCTCATTTGAA